GCCTGAGGTGCAGGTCACGAGAGAAGGGCGGGGGGGGGGGGGGGGGGCCCCCCATCCGGCTTCCCCCCTCCAAGCCCCTCTCTGAAAAGACAGAGAATGAGGAAGTAAAATTTTTAATAAATACAAGAACCACTTATTTGGTATTAAACACATGTAAAGGGAAATATAGTCATAAATCTGTAGATGTTGTTGGTGCGACAGGGTAAAAAGAAAATTAACCTTTCTTAGAGCTGTTGAAATTAAGAAAACAGTGGGTAACTCACCAGTTTCTATATATGCCTGAATGTCCGTTGCCTTTGTTAAGACAAGATTTATTAAGCAAATTAGAGGCACAAATAACTTTAAAAAAAAATGAAAAAATTAAATTATTGATACCAGAATCAAAAGCCGTAGAGGCAAGGGTGTTTGTGTTACAGGATTCTTTTAAGGAGGAACAAATTCCAGAAGAGGTGGAAAACGCAGTAATCCTGCTTGGTTTAGGCAAATGAAGTTCCGGGACAGTCCAAATTGGCAGAACTGGTAAAAGTGACCTTAAAACCTGGATCCAAACCGGTAAGACAAAAATAATATCCTATTAAGTGGGAGGCACGAAAAGAATTAAAGGGGTTAATCATGAAATTTTTGGAATATAGGCTTTTGGTAGAATGCGAGTCAAAATACAACACACCTATACTACCGGTAAAGAAACCTGGAGGACGAGAATATCGACTAGTCCAGGATCTAAGAGCTATAAATCAAATAGTTCAAGATATACACCCAGTAGTGGCCAATCCCTATACTTTATTGACATCCCTGAAAGAGGAGCATAAATGGTTTACTGTACTAGATTTAAAGAATACCTTCTTTTGCATACCTCTGGATGCACAAAGTCAAAGCATATTTGCTTTTGAATGGAAGAGCCCTGCAACAGAACGAAAGATACAACTGACATGGACTATACTTCCACAAGGATTTAAAAATAGCCCCACAATATTTGGAAAACTGTTTGTCCATAAAAGACAACATCTGGTCCTTAGAGTGCTGGCACAACGTCTGGGATCCTGGAAGCGGCCAGTAGGATATTTCTCTAAACAACTTGACAACGTGAGTAAAGGATGGCCGGGATGTTTGCGCGCCGTGGCAGCGACGGTATTGCTAATTCAGGAAGCTTGAAAATTGACTATGGGCCAAAAGATGGTGGTGTATGTACCACACATGGTGGTAACTGTTCTAGAACAAAAGGGGGGTCATTGGCTGTCCCCCAGCAGAATGCTGAAATATCAAGTTGTCTTACTGGAGCAAGATGATGTGGAATTAAAAACCACAACCATCGTAAATCCAGCAATGTTTCTGTCGACGGAGAATCCGACAGAAAATCTAGAACATGACTGCCTGCTAACTGTTGAACAAGTCTATTCCAGCAGACCGGACCTGAGGGATGAGCCTCTGGAGAACCCTGATCTGGACTTGTTCACGGATGGGAGCAGCTTTGTGAAAGAAGGAAGACGAACGGCCGGATATGCTGTTGTCACCACCACCGAGGCACTGGAGTCAGGAACGCTGCCTGCAAATCCCTCGGCACAGAAAGCAGAACTGGTGGTGTTGAGGCAAGCCTTGCGAATGGCAGAAGGAAAAAGGGTAAATATATGGACTGACTCTAAATATGCATTTGGTGTGATTCACGCTCATGGAGCCATCTGGAAAGAAAGAGGACTGCTCTCAGCCCAAGGTTCATCGATAAAACACAAAGAAGAAATCCTTCAGCTCCTCGAAGAGGCGCAGAAACCAAAGGAAGTGGCACTGATGCACTGCAAGGCTCATCAATTTGGTCAGACAGCTGTAAACACAGGTAATCGATTGGCAGACAAAACAGCAAAGGAGGCTGCGGAAAAAGGTATCCTTGCTCTAGTACCAGTAAAACAGATAAAAATCCCAAATCTGAAACCAGAATATAGCAAATTGTATGAACAATTAGCAGAACAATTAAAAGCATCACAAAATACAGAAGGGTGGTGGGTAACACCAGAAAAACAAGTAATAGTAACCCCGCAAGTCATGTTAAAACTTGTGAAAGAAAAGCATGCACAGACACATTGGGGTGTAAATGCCATGATCTCGAGCCTAAAATCATCTGTAGTGTGTGTAGGAATGACAGGGGTAATTAAATCTATAATAGCTAAGTGTCCAATTTGTCTCAAAAATAATCCTTTAAACCAGAAAAAGGCACCCTTAGGAGTAACAAAACAGGGTAACACCCCAGGAGATTATTGGCAAATTAATTTTTCTGAACTGCCTAGACAAAATGGATTCAGGTATCTATTAGTATT